TTGATTCGATGTAAAGACATCTAAATATTTCTACTGATACAATTGAGCAGTTTCGGCCGGGGTGTCATCCACTCCGTGGCTGAGCTATAACTTAATGTACATCCAACAAACGCCATGGGGTTCAGTGGGGTAAAAAAAAAAAAGAAAGAAAGCAAAAGAAAAAATCCTGACGGTATCTAGATCAACGTAACTTGAGGCTTTTCGCATACTTCCACATGATTCCATCGATATTGTGCCAATACTGACGACGTATATGACCAGCCAGACCGCGGTGAGGGTGTAGCAGACCGTGTTTTGGGAATAAAATCCTGCTATCAACATCGCTGCGGATGAAATACGTGAGGACACAGAGCGCGGCATTGATGTAGCAACTCACCAAAAATGAAACAATTCAGGGACAAGCCAACAAAGAACATGGGCATGATTATTGATAACAGGTAGGACAACAGGAAATAGCCGCCTGGTATGAGTTGCTGATGAGATGTCAGTGGATGTAGTCGGTAAAGCGAGAATAACACTTACTTCTCGAGTCCACTGCCGATCGGTGTGTAGCCAGCGGATCATGCTCAAGCCAGATATCAACATTGCAATCATGGCGAGCATGAGTGATATGAAGAGCAAAAATAAGGGGCAGGTGAGGTGTAGTCGAGATATAGCACAGGTGAGTTTGTGGTTACGAAAACGCCACTCGTTGCGAGAAGCAGGCCCGCCTTTTCAGGAGTACGTCAGCGCTAGCTTAAACTCGTAGAGAGTTGAACGACTTACTGCGGTGATAGTGTTGGTTAGGATAGTGCATAGCCTGCCCCTCACGATCTCGAACGCGTCTTCGGATTGCAGCGCCTCCCAATGGCCTTCAAGATCGGGGCGCCCCAAAGCAAGGAAACAGAGTACTCTGGTTAAAGAGGACGTGTCACGAAGGGCTTGGGGGAGTGTTTCTTCGGTTAGCGTTCTTTCATCGGAAGACCAATTGATGTTGAAAGTCTGCCGTAGTTTAGTCATACAGCGAGTCTTTCTATGTTTTCAAAGCGCAAACCTTCGGGAAATAGAGTACGGCCATAACGAGCGCAACGTCAAAGAGAAGAGTACAGATGGATTAGTGCATCTCGACATGCTGAGCACTCTTTTATCGGATGTTCGAAATGAGGCGCTTGAGTTGTGATTATAGAAATGACAGTATTGTCAATAGAACGCGAACTGGATCATCCTGCGGACCAGGACCTGCGTCCGATCAAGGTCTGATTATGATTGGCTGTTACAGCTATGTGGAACGTATCATATGCATCAATTGATCTTATCAATCGCAGCAGCGCTAGCACCAATCCCCGACTCTCGGACCCAAATTATTATCTCACATGCCGGGTCATATGCTATCCCTCGCAAACTCTGTCATGCATGACGGCCCTCGCGTTGTATATATGCTTTGCTGTCGCTGTGGGCCCTCGCCAGTCTCCGTCACTTATCAGGTGGCAATCTCTCACTGATGTCATACCGACGGTGCAGAGCACGGCTGGCTCCCAAGGCGCATCATTACACGCCACATAATGTCTGCCAGACAATCAGCCAAACAACACATGTCGGAAAATTTAGCCGTATTGCATCCGCAATGCAAGATTCTTCGTGTGAAAAATTGACGGTCCTTTTGGTGGGTTTGCAGTCCTGGAAGTACATCAGGAAACCCACTGCCGAGCGAAGCGACTTGTAGCAGCTTGTAGCAGCCAGTAGTAGCTGAAAGGACCTAAAGCCTCCATACTGGCTCCGGGACTTGTTCCGTCAAAATTATAGTTTTAACTTCAAATGGTTTAGTTTGATTTGCTACGACGTGCTACCCGAGCTCCTGTAGCATTCGACTACTACTGTAGCAGGGCTTTGCTACTGCGCTTCGGCTTGCTACGTAGAACTATATAGTTCGAAATGTCCCACTGATGTACAGTCCTGAGATGGGCGAAAAGATATATTCATGAAGTATCTAGACTCAATAAAATGTGTCTCGGAGGTCAGGATGAGCACGAGAAAATGCCTGAGAATGTATGGCAAGTGCCGGCGAGGCGAGCACGCTGCCAGGACGGTTGCCGCGAATTTGTGGCTGCTGGCATTGGGACTGTAAACCCGAGCGGAGTTGGGACCGTCAATTTCTCGACCCGAAGCTGCAGCTGTCAGAATTTCGCGGAGAACCGCACGCTTTGTGCGCGTGGGATCAGCACGTTCGGACTGGAAAATTGACGGTCCTCAGGTGAGAAATTTGCAGTCCTTTTGAATCCCGCTCGGCAACGCTTACCAGGACTCCGCACAGTGGCGAAACGTCGTGCAAGCTCTCTGCTAGGTAATCCAGTGCTGGACCGTCAATTTGCTCGTGATCAGCTCTACTTTGTAGAGTCGGGGATTAGTCTCACCTTGTCTTCCATCTTCGACGAAAATTTTCTGACAAGTACCGGATAGCTGTGGATCTTTTTTTAAAAAAATCCTAATGCATTCAAGTCACGCGCGTACTGTCAACCTTTTCACACATAGCTGTACAGTAATAATAATAACCCACTCTTTCCAGGTCTCCGTGCACTGCGGCCCTTCACGTCATTTCATTTCGGTATGCTATGCTGGCGCATGTATGTTGTTGGGCATCGTCATGAAGGTATCTGCAGCCGGCAAAAACCCTACTCAATAACAGTTTATTTCGCCAGTTTATTTTTTTGAGCGAGCAGGACGAAATAAACTGGAATAAACTGTCAAGTAAGGTTTGACGTGCATTCGTGTTGCGGAGATTGAAATAGGAGCCGCCGACCGACTTGCCGAGAGACTCTGCAAATGAACACTCATGGCGCGTGATAGCTCAGTGCATCGACAACGACGTCGACGTCAGCACCAACGGATCAGCGAGAGAGAATCTACTACGAAACTCTTGGAAACTCTCGCAGTTGTGCTTCTTGCTGAGGCGAAAGACTCCGGGGGATCAGCTCATTGCACATTTCTATGTCGTGTAGGTGCCGAAAATGCACTGAAAACAGCGTCTGTCGTGGCAATTGCTGAAGGAACTGTTTATCTTTACACTGAACGTGTGTGCATGGCATTTCGCCGCCTTCGCTCTCGATTCCTGACATGGCCTGGTCCTGTCCGACGTCAGCAGTTGTCTGATGCAATGGACGAGTGGGGTTTTCCCGGCTGTATTGGCATAGGGGATGGTAGCTATATCAGACTCCAAGACAAGCCTTTGCGGAATCCTTTTGCTTACTACTGTCGCAAGAAATTCTATGCTGTAAGTCCATTTATTTTTGTACGAGAATATCGGGGGTTTGCAAAAGAGAGATGTGGTCCCATGAAGCAAGCTCGAGTGCGAGCTTCTGTTGTCCGTCTTCGCTCCAGTAGTCACTCATACTCGATGCTGGTATACTTTTGCTCCTCATCAATCGTACTTCGGCTGCTCGGCATCACAATCACTCTCAGTTCACTCCGACAACTTCGTGTATGAAATAAACTGGCAAATAAACTGCCACTCAATAACGCTGTCAGTTGAGTTTGTAGCACCTTGTTATGACTCCGAGCTAGCTCGGTTCCTCAACCCACCTCAGAAAAAAAGTCCGAAACACCCTCACGGCATTCACAGGGTTCAAGACCCCAGAGAACCACCGATAGCGACAGATACACAACGTTATGGTGAGATTGACGGCATCGCCTACTTGTATTTATACCTCAACCGCAACCATCATCAGTGTCTGCATTTCTCCCCCCATTTTGTCTGCGCTTGTCTCCATCGCTGTTCTCCATGGTGTGTATTGACCCTCAATGTTGTCAACGTTCTCCCTGCCCTTCTCTTGTCATGTTCGTTTGTCCCTCTGTTTTTCTCTCGTGGTGTTGTTTTGTTCCCTTTCCTTACCTTATCTTATTTTGTCCCTTGGCCCTTCATCATCGTCGTTTGTCTTTGTCCTTCAGCCCACATGATCATCTTTGCTTGTCACTGTCCTTCAGTCTGTGCTCGTCTTTGTGTTATCTTCTACATCGCTTCATTTATTCTTATTCAATGTACTGTTAATGCAATATATTACTGTTTGCTCCACTACAACTCTGCTGTGAAGAGCGTGATAACATCTTGTTCAGATGATCAGCTGCAACACGTTGATGGCTGTTACTAGTGTCGGTGCAAGAGTATGTTGTTAGGATGGTCAGCTGCAAAACATTGACGGCTGTCACTAGGTAAGTTCGATAATATATTGTGTGATCGATGTGCGATTTATTAATGGTTGTCACTAAGGTATAAATGTATTGCAACTTCGCTCCTCCCTTTACCTCTATCTCATCAATCACACCTTCATCGTCAGCGTAATCCTTCCGCATCCTTTCAAGATACCTGTCCTTCCTCGAGAGCTCCAGTTAGGGTGCTGAACTGTGATAGTGGAATCCGGATGCGGTGCCCCTCGGATGCTGGTGGGTTGCTCTTACACGTGTCTGTGTTTGAGTTGCTGATGACTTTTTGGTGATGGCCAGTAGTCAACAATGTTCGCACCAGGTGTCAACGCATACTGAAGTGTGCTGATGTATGTCGAGGGCAGTGGTGCTATGGTACGTGCCCTTCTTGACGAGACAGTGATTAAAGTAACATTACTAGGCTTACTGTCATCGAGTGCGCCTGTGAGGGTGCTGAAATGACTCAGCGGAAGCTTGCCCTCAGCATGATATTGTGGTGGTGGCAGTGGGAGTGTTGTAGCTGTCCATCTTGGCCAAATTTCTGGTGTTCCAGTCACGTCGGATTGCATTGCAGACTCGAGCGTATGCGATGGGCACGGTGCATATTGAACAAGGCCTGCATGCAGTGATGGCAGTGCCATATTTTGGTTTTCTGATGCCGAGATCAAGATGTGCGTGGCATTGCTCGGTCTTGAAGGTGCATCCTTAGCGATTGCAACTGTGGCTCAACGCCGTTGAACGAGAGCTAACAGCATGTCAGACTTGAATAGAAACTGGGACAAAGAATGTGATATTACCTTGTCGAACAATAGATCTTGTGGCACGGCGGACATGTGTAGCATCTTGATCGCGGGTGTTGATACCCAAGGATGTATGGACTTCCATACTTTGTGCAGCACGCTCATCAAAGTCGCGACCCCGCATGATGCCACCAAGAAGGGTGAGATTAACACCATCACGATTTGCACTGTGATGGGCTTGCTCATTGCCGTTCGTAGTCGATGGACAGGCTCTCCAAATGACTTTGGGTATTAGGCTTGCTGGGCGGTATATTGCAGCAAGCACAAATTTATTTGTTTCTAATTTATCCTTCAACCAAGCTGCGTGCATGTCAGTGCTGAGCTTGAAAAATCACTGGTAAAATTTACCTTGAGCTTTCCTCCCACCGCCGCGGATGGTTGCTAGTGTCTTGTTGATGTCCGGATGTGGCTCCGAAGATGCTAAACTCAACATTGCAGAATATACCTCACTTGACACATAGGTTCGGAGTGCCTGAACATTGCGCTTGAAGTGCGTGACACAAACACGGTAGAAACGACGCAAGTGAGCATATGGATCCAGGTCACGGAGCAGACATTGTTTTTCGTAAACACAGAACGTGTTATTATTCTTACAGAGTTCGACGCAGAACATCCCGAGACCTGAGTTTTCAACAATGAGGATTAAAAATGCCACAACGAACAGACAATTCACCTAGTCCCTGCCCCATGTGTCCGTCGGCAACAACAGACTCATACCCTGTGCCGTGAATGTGTTGGAAGGACACTGATAGTCCTGTATCTTCTTCAGCAATCTCAAAAATACGCCGGAAGAGAATTAAGTGTGCTTGGGCACTTTGAGATGTTGTGAAAGCTCTTGCACCCATCACAGCTAATGATTATTCAGTATAGCTGACTGATACTTACAGTACAAATAACTTACATCGCATATGTTCGCTATCCCATGCTTCAATCTCAAATTCCTGCCAGCCATGAAGGCGCTTGAAAGATGTGTCGATTGAGATGCGTTTTGCACCCAAGAGACGGTGAGACATGTTACTTGTCATACAAATAACAAGATGAAATTCAGTCTTTGCCGTGAGAGTGTAGGTCTCTGCACAGCGAACATAGCGTTGTTCTCGCGACTGTTTGTTTTCTTCATCCACTAGGAGCCTTGCACCTAGATGATTCCTTCGGTCAATTTTTTTATGACACAGTGATATGAAATTGATGTTACCTTCAAAACCAGTACCAAGGGGATACTTTTCGAAGTGGAAAACATTGATTAGACGCCGGACATGATCAAGGTTGGCAAGCAATGGATGAATATCGGAAAGACAAGGGCTTCGGTCTGCTACCCATCCTAATGCTATACAAAGTCCTCTCATGAAGCCTGAGTCCAAAACAATCCGACATGGAGTTGCATCAGCAAGCTGCCAGTCCATATCTAGTAGAAGAGTCTGAAAAAGATCAACAAGCAGAGGTGGAGTTTTGATGGGTGCCGGTGGTGGGTGTGAATGGGGGTTACGACAAACAACAGCAACTTGGGGGCATGCAGGTAAGTCCTCAGGTACATAGATATCAAATTTTGCAGTACAACGGTGCTCCCATTTAAGTAACACTCCGCGTGCCAATGTTCCGTCATTGGATTGATGCCAATGTGCTATGGAAACCATCAGACATTGGGTCTATAACGAAAATGATAATGCTCACGGCAAAGTTGTTTTTGCTGAGACGGGGAGGCAACAAAATGACAAGGAATGAGTGGGCCATATCCATTATCTCTCACATCTTGTTCATGAGACGCAATGACTACTTTATCATCATCAAGGAGGGCCTGCAGGTAGCCAGTATCGAACTCTTGCAGGTTGTGGAGAATCAGGTGGGACAGATCATCTCGTGAGCGCAACTGACATCTAAAATGTTTATTAGCTGTGCAGTAATGAGAAAATAAAGGGAAACCACTCACTGGATGTAGTGCTGGTTGAATTTGTCAACTTGCATCACAAGTTTACCTCGACAGGTATCAGCACCTGGCAATGAGTGCTGCGCAGCACCTTGTTCATTGTCTGTAACAGTACTCATCATCCTGATGTCATCAGTATCATCATGATCCACGCCAACGCACTCCAGACTGGCCATAAATGCACAGCCATGCTCTGCAAGGGAGCAAAAAAAAGCAAAAGTCTTGAGAAAAACTTTGCGTTTTGCATTGTCCTCAAATGGAAGGAACGGGGTAGTAACTGATGAGAGCTTTCATGATAACTGGGTTTATATACCATTGTCAGTACTGCAATATGTTCTCGTAAAGTTTGCAAGTTACCTCCTGGACAAGCAAGAACTCGGTAGATGTTCAATGACCGAAAAAATGTCTTGCTATCGTCCGATTCTTCAGGTGCCAAGTGTGTACTAAGATCCAGGAGTTCAAGTAGTGCTTAGGTATGGCCAGTGGCCAAGGTGGGTCCAGATAGCAAATGCCGTTGGGCGGCGAACATATATGCACGAATGGTGAGCTGCCAATGCATGGACTAGCGGAGATTAGCAGAAAAATTTCAGGCCAGACAAACAAACTTACAGAACATAAGCTGCTCCTCAGCGATCAAACGTACAACTCATACGAGGTGAAGAGATTCATTTCGTTATCTCTGGGAACAACATAGAAATATTTTCTTTTGAAAAGCCTCCATAGTGAATGCATTGATCTTCTCGTGCCGCATTCGACATGGCCGACACGGAGATTGGTTATCTGTGATATTACAGACCAACCGAGAACCTGTGAAGTTTGTAAAGTTCATGAGTGTGTCAAAATTTGTGGTTCAACTGTACCAAAAAAAAGGAATCCAGAGCTTGGTATGTAGCCGAAGTGACGTTCCATCACTAGTGTGCAATTATGAGAGGAATCTAGAGTAAATGGGTCGCAGGAGATTGTCATTTGTGTGTTGAGTGAGCAACGGAGGAGAGCAACAGCACATTGACAGACGTCATACTCAATACAACTCATCCAAATAAGGCAAGTTACATGTCATCTGCAACATCACCAACTTCAAGTACAATCCAGATGCCGGACTCATCTATATCTACTATGCCTTCGGTGCTTAGAGAACATGCTCCCGTATCATGGAATTATCTTCTGCTCAGCTTACTGCACTCCAACGTGCTCAGTCCATCTTACATGATGTTGGGCTGTCTCCTCACGATCTCGATGATCACTCGCAAGCTTCAAGATCTCCATCATCATCATCTTACTCTTCCCCAGCTGCACCTACTACACCTCTCCCATTGTCTGCTCCAGATCCATGCTCTGCTATTCTTGCAGCCCAATATATCCCACCTCCTGCACGATCCTTCACGCCAGATGAAATCTCTGCTGGTGCTCATCATATCAATTGACAGTCGATAGTGCACACAATTATCAATCACCCACCAGGTGCCATCATTGAGTATCCTCAAACCGGCTCGTCAAAGGACAATGTGATTGCCCATATCTTTACCCTTGCTTGTGACACACACACGACAGAGTTTGACCTTCCGCAATTCAACTTCCAGTACTCACTCGGTGATGGTCATGGTGGTCTGAAGGGTGTCCAATGTTACCCTGCTCCATGATAATGCGGGTCAGCCAGTGCGCTGTAAAAAGCTCTCAACATCATGTAAGTCTGTGAAGTTTTTCTAATTTGTATTTGCTGACCGCATCTTTGCAGGTAAAGGACTCAAAACTTGCTCCGCACGGTTGGATGGTTTTTTCAATACTATCCACTCTTATATGAATCGCTCGCATGTTTCAGAACTCATTGCTCCCCCGTTCCTTCCATTTGAGGACAATGCAAAACGCAAGTTTTTCTCAAGACTTTTGCTTTTTTTTGCTCCCTTGCAGAGCATGGCTGTGCATTTATGGCCAGTCCGGAGTGCGTTGGC